TATATATACACATATATATATATGTGTATATATATATATATATAAACACACACATACTTACATGTTTCTGTAGATAAGTTCCTAGAAGTAGAATAAAAATATGAATATCTAAAATTGAAATAGATACTCACCAGCAATATTTTTTCCATATTAAAAAGATATAGAAAAGAATGGAGGTTAACGTAAGAAATATCCATGTACACATCACCCAGAATTAACATTTGTTAACATTTTAAATTTATAATAGAACAGAATAGTGCACGTAAGTTTTATCTTTTTTGTTTTCCTCTTAGTCCTATCCCCTTCTCTCCCTATCCATAGAAAACTATTTTCATAAGTTTGGGGTGTTTAAATCCATGTTTTTATATTTTATCTTATATATCCCATATCTATATAGTATGGATAATATTGCTTTGTCTGTGTTTGTTGTTTTTTTTTTAATTTCCCTCAGACAAACATGATCCATTTGAACCTTTTTCTGAGGTTTGTCAGTATCTCTCTTTCTCCTCCCAGCTTAATTCCCTTGGTTCTGAATAAGAGAGATTCCCCCTACTGAGTGTGGCTATCCACCTCCACCCCTTTCTGAAATAGTGCACAGCAAAAGCAAGAAATCCACATACCTTGTATATATACTGAAAAATACAGATCTATAACTTACCCAAATTATGTTTAAAAAATTCTGTAGTCCAGCTGTGCCCTTGCAGATGAATCTTCCTCTCCTTTTCCTGCAGAGGTCACAACTGTCCTGAATTTTGTGTTAATGATTTCATTGTATTTTTTAATGGTTTTTATTACCTATGAATGTATACCTAAAAATATGGTTTACCTTTTCGAACATCATGTAAATTGAATTATATAATAGTTAATAATTTGTAACTTGCTTTTCTTATTCAGCATGAGTTTTGAAATTCATCTCAGGTGAAAACAAAATTTCACAAAACAATTCTTAATCTTTATTATGAAGGATATCCTGATTTTTTTTTGTTTGCACTCTGTTTCATTTCTAAAACTGCTGATTTTGACCTACTAAACTGATTTCACAATGGATCATGATCCACAGTTTTAAAAAAACACTTGATTTAGGATGTATGCCTGAAAGTGGAACTGCTAGATTATAGAGTGCATTTTAGTTTTACCAGATATTGCCAATGGTTGTAACAGTTTACCTCCCCACCAGTAGTATGAGAATTTCTAGTTTCTTGTGTCCTCAGAAGGCAGGGATTTTTTTCAATCGTTAATTTAAAATATTTTTGATGTAACTTCAGGCCTAACAGAAAGTTGAAAGAAGCTGCAAAGAATTCCTGGATACCTTTTCCCCAGATTCCTCAAATGTTAATATTTTATTTTTTTTAATTTTATTTATTTTTTTCCTGAGCCATGTTAAAGTTGCATCTTGACAGCACTTTTCACAATAGACAAAAGGGAGAAACAATCCAGTGTCCGTCAATAGATAATGGTTAAACAGAATGTGGTGTGTGTGTGTGTGTGTGTGTGTGTGTGTGTGTGTATACAAATATTAATGGCCACATATTGTGGCCACAATAGATCCATAGAAACAAAACAGATTAGTGGTTGTCAGGGGTGGAGGTGGGGGTCAGTGAGTGAGTGACTGCTTAATGGATAGAGTCTCCTTTGGGAGTGGTGAAAGATTTTGAAACTAGATGGTGATGATGGTTGTGTAATGTTGTGAATGTACTAAATGCCACTGAATTGTACACGAAATGTACTGAATTGTATACTTAAAAATGGTTAATATTATGTGAATTTCACTCAGTAAAAAAGAGAATAAGTTGCAGTTATGATATCCCTCTACCCCTAAAATATCCTAAAACCTAGGAACTTTCTCATGTAACTATAATAGTTATTAAAAGCAGGAAATTAACATTGAAGCAATACTGCAACCCACAGACCTTATTTATCAGTTGTCCCAATAATATTCTTTATAGCAAAATAAAGTCTATGGTGACATTTTGCTTTAGTTGGCACATCTCTTTAGATTTTTTGAGCTGGAGCAGTTCCTGAGTCTTTGAAGTATTTTATAACATTGATATTTTGAAGAGTCTAGGCTAGTTATTTCAATAATTGGTCACTTTGAGTGTGTTTGATATTTCTTCATAGTACATGAATCTTCAGTTTATGCACTTTGGTGAGAATGTTGTTGAAGTGTTGTTGAGTTAGAAGGCATGAATTTTAATATTAACATTTTTTAGAGCTGTTCCAGCCACCTTTTTTTCCCCCACTAAATATTCTCCATAAGATATTACTAATTTTATGAATCATATTCCAGAAACAGTCACTAACTAAAGCTTAAGCTTAATATATATTTTTTTAATTCCAAGTGACTTTTTTTAGTCTCTTTACTGCATTTAACCCTGAGCTAGCTCACAGTGAACCTGAATATCTTCATTAGCAATATCCCAAACTTGCATCTCTTACATAGAGAAGAATGGAAACTGAAAATTTGAGTTTCTCTTCTTACGATTGCTGTTAAGAAAAGTAAAAGAGTTAGTACTTGAGACATTTACATTTAGATATGGTTATTTCTAATACAGTTAAACTTTCTTGTTTGGGGTTGAATGGAGAGAAAAATGCAACCGGAATACAGGTGTTTGCTTTTGTTTTCATTTGATTACATCTAACAACATAAAGTCATTGGTGGATCTGGACTACTGGATAATTTTAATATATTAGTACCTCTTTTTTTTTCTGAAGCTGTAGCATCCTCATATGACCTTCACAACAATGCTGTGAGATTAGTTCCTTTATTTCCTTCATTCACTCAAACAAATATTTCTTGATCATCAATGTTCTACCAAGCACTGTTTTGAATCCTAGGGATATGCACCAAATAAAATAGCAAAAGTTCTTAGCCCCAGTAATTTGCATTTAAAGATTATCCTTTAAAGAAGGTAAATGTTGGGGCGCCTGGGTGGCACAGTCGGTTAAGCGTCCGACTTCAGCCAGGTCACGATCTCGCGGTCCGTGAGTTTGAGCCCCGCATCAGGCTCTGGGCTGATGGCTCAGACCTGGAGCCTGTTTCCGATTCTGTGTCTCCCTCTCTCTCTGCCCCTCCCCCGTTCATGCTCTGTCTCTCTCTGTCCCAAAAATAAATAAACGTTGAAAAAAAATTAAAAAAAAAAAAGAAGGTAAATGTTTATATTTAATAAGTAGTACATGTATAAAATTCAAATGGTATAAAAGAGTACACAGTGAAAATAGGTCTTCCTCCTATATATTTCCCCTATCTTATCAGTTTTCGTCTCCTGGAGTTCCTCTTCCTAGTTTACCAACTACTATAACTGGTTTATTATATATCCTTATAGGGATTGCCTGTGCATGTGTAATCATACCTGTAACATAGACTTCTTTCTACCCTCAACATTCATGGTTGCTTTCTATATGTATGCTATTCTTGACCTTAGTGTGTTCTCACCTAACGCTGTATCTTGGAGATATATCTTCTCTTGCTAAATGAACATATATTTAGGTTGTTTTCAGACATTTTCTATTACAAACAATATCTTACACATATACCATTCTGACCTCATTTAAGCATATGTATAAATGCATTTATGGAGATAGAATTGCAAGGTGAAAGGATATATGCATTTTATGTTTAGAAAGATCTTGTCAAATTGTCCTCCATAGTGTACCAATTTATACTCATATTAGCAATAGATAATTGTGTTTATTTTCCACACCGATAGGTGTTATCAAGTATTTTATATCAATTAACCTAATACACAGCTCAAAGAGAAAAAAAAATCACACTTTCAAACTCTTAAGTGGTTCTAAACAACTTTCTTTCTTAAATAAATATCAAATCTTTCCACAAAGCATGAGAATATTAAAAAAAACCCAGGAAAAGAAAATTTTGAATATTTTTGGTGCTCTAACAATCAGAAACTTAGGCATAAGCATACAATTCTTTTGTGTTTACCTTTACAGGTGTCCCCTGGAATTTCACCTTTAATGTCAAGTTTTATCCACCTGACCCAGCACAGTTAACAGAAGATATAACAAGGTAAATAATTTATTAATAGTTAAATGTAGAGTTAGTAATTCTCATTTTCATAAGCTCTGGGAATTTCCCTATTCAGAACTGAAGAAAAATTCTGTGCTATTAAAATGGGAAGTTTCTGGTCACTTCAAGACAGGTTTGCAAATAAGTGAGCCTTAAAGCCTCATTTATCTGTGATGTGCCTAGAGGAAATTGGCAGGGGAATTAACCTTGCTTCTAATGGGTATTATGACAAGTTGTGTACAGGACGCCTATAAACCACATGCCCTCCACAGGGCAAGATGCAAATATAGTGGTAAAATAGCTCTCCTACTTTTTCCCTTTGATACTCCTTCCCCACTGTGTTTTCTTTACAGGGATCAAAAAAGCTGAAGCCTGTGTTACTATTGTTTTTTCTTATCTCCCTTTTAAAGTATGTGATTAGGCAGTTTGTGAGTTCAAGCCCCGAGTCGGGCTCTGTGCTGACAGCTCAGAGCCTGGAGCCTGCTTCGGATTCTCTGTCTCATTCTCTCTCTGCCCCTCCTCCCTCACGTGTGGTCTGTCTCTCTGTCTCTCAAAAATAAATGAAAATGTAAAAAAAAAAAAAAATTTTTTAAAGTGTGTGATTAGGTACATAATCCTCATGAGCTGAATCTTTTTCAGTAATTTTTGAGCCCACTTGATTTATGAAATAAATCTTGTACTCTTTGAAAACAACTTACTGATTTCTTTTAGGAAAGTGACCTTTATTGGATTCTATATAAATATTAATATTAAAAAAGAAAATTGAAAACCAGCATATTGTAAAGAATACTATTATACATATTTATTTATATCCATAACATCCTTATACATATTAGGTGCTTGGCAAATGTTTGTTAAATTGAACTGTTGGTTACTGAGAAATGACTTTCTAATCTGATTTTGTTGTCAACTATCTGACAAATATACAGTTTCTATACCCCAGTTTTCATATCGCTCAAATAAGGAAATAGCCTAAGTAAACTCCAACTCTGATTGTTAAGTACAGTAAAACCTTGGTTTGTGAGCATAATTCATTCTGGAAACATACTTGTAATTCAAAGCACTTGTATATCAAAGAGAATTTCCCCATAAGAAATAATGGAAACTCAGATGATTCGTTCCATATAATAATGACTACAATACTGTAATATAATACAAAATAATAAAGAAAATACAAAATATAAAGAAAAATTAACAAATTAACTTGCACTTAACTTTGAAAACCTTTGTGGCTGGTGTGAGGGAGATGAGAGAGGAGGGTTATTGTGTAGGATGACTTTCACTATCACTAATGGAATCACTTCTATTGGCTCAATGAAATCTTTTTCTTTTCGTGCACCTTTAACAAGGACACTATCCAATGACACTTGCTTTTGCCTCCTTTTGAGGATTTCGTGGAAATTGACAATGCGTTGTCATTAAACAGATTTATTGCTCAGACTGCCTCAGTCTTATTTGGGTGGTGCTTTTCTACAAAATTTTGCACTGTTTCCCCCATTTTATACATCTCCCTAATCTCATTTGAAGTGAGGGATTCTTCTGCTTTTTTTCTCCTCTTCCTCTTCTCCAGACGAGATGCAGACATAGACTTCTTATAAAAGCTTGCAATTTCGGCCACTTGCATAACTTGTTCATACTTCTTGATGATTTCCTTTTTAACTTCTGCTGTAATCATCTCCTTCTTCTTACCACCTTCTTTTCAACCTTTTTCTGCACGGGGCTATTGTATACGCTTGCAAAGATGTTGACTACAGTATTAATAAACTCTTGTTATATACTCTATTTAATATAACTGGCAATAAGGCAGCAGAGGAAAGGGTCTATATCTGCAGGCAGCCGTGACCTAGAATGAAGCAAAGCATTCCTAAGCTTACTCTTGTACGGAAAAGCGATGGACTGTCCATCGGTGCTTTGAAGTTAAAAAAATGCACTAGTGCCAGTTGTGGGTGCCTTCCAACATTCTGAAAAATCACTGATTCCTACCAGATACCATCGCCTGAGACCGAGCATCAGAGCATGGGAGATGATCACCCACAATCCCACAGCGAGAGAAAGAACCATTGACTCAGTTGTGATCATGTGACTTTTGGCGTCATGTACTATTCATATTGCAAGACCTCGCTCGTTTATCAAGTTAAAATTTATTAGAATGTTTGCTCACTCACAGAACAAGTTACTCACAATCCAAGGTTTTATTGTACTGTGAAAGTTTTAAAAAATTATTCTTTGTCTAGATAATCCTTAGTACATTCTTGAAGTTGAGATGTCATCTCTGGCCTGAAAAAATTGTTTTGGTTATTTCATTTTCACATGTAATATTTGTCTCTTAAAGTTGCTTCTTATTCATCTTCCTTGAGGTTATGTATAAAACAATACAAATCCCTGAAATTTTTTGCTAATTACCCACATTTTAGAAGAGATTAAGATTCTTGTGATTTGGTTGGCATTCCTCTTTTTTTTAAAAACATATGTAGGGGCGCCTGGGTGGCTCAGTCGGTTGAGTGACCGACTTCCGCTCAGGTCATGATCCCGCGGTCTGTGAGTTTGAGCCCCGCGTCGGGCTCTGTTTTGACAGCTCAGAGCCTGGAGCCTGCTTCTGATCCTGTACCTCCTTCTCTCTCTGCCCCTCCCCCACTCGTGCTCTGTCTCTCTCTGTCTCATAAATAAATAAACATTAAAAAAATGAAAATAAAATCAAAATAAAAAAATAAAAACATGTGTAGTGACAAATTATAGATAGCAAAACGATTGTTGATATCTACATTATTTAACACCTTATTATGGTCAAAGCAAGGATATAATTCTAATTAATACAGGAATTTTCAATTTAATCATATCTCCCAGCTTTCCTGTTTGGTCAAACAGTCTGTATTGGTCAACTCAGAAAAAGTGCTAAGCAGGTCAGGATCACAGGTGTAAACATTATACTGATGGAGATGAATGCCTAACATGTAGGGGCACATGGTTGGTTTGTTCTACTGAACAGTTTTAACCCCAGTATGAATTCCCAACAATGTAGCACACTGGTGGCATCAGTCCTATAAGACGAGAGTGAATGGAAGGCTTAGCCCATCTTGAAGAGAAAACAGCTGAAAATGTTCATATCCTACTAAAATTGTGTCAGTAATGTCATCTTTTTATGTGAAGGACAGTATCTACACATTTGGCAAAGCAGTTTGATAGAAGGAGTCCAGTTTTGTAGCCAAACAGCCTTTATTACTATACGACATTGAGCAAGCTTAGTCTTTGAAACTGCCTCTCTGTCTGTAATTTGGTGATGATACCCACCAAACACGTTTTTTTGTGAAGATTAGATGAGATAATTTATGTGTATATGGTACTTAATGTACTCAATAAAATATTAATTTCTTTACCTCCTTCAGACTTTTCCCAGTTTCTCCTCTTTTCTTTCTTTTTTGTTATTGAGATATAATTGACATATAGTGTTATATTAGTTTCTGGTGTGCAACATAATGATTCAATATTTGCATGTATTATGAAATGATCACAATAGGTCTAGTTAACATCCATCACCACACATAATTACAAAAATGTTTTTTTCTGGTGATAAGAACTTTTAAGATCCACTCTCTTAGCAACTTCTTTTCTGTTTTTTTTTTTGTTTTTTTATTTAAAAAAAAATTTTTTTTTAACGTTTATTTATTTTTGGGACAGAGAGAGACAGAGCATGAACGGGGGAGGGGCAGAGAGAGAGGGAGACACAGAATCAGAAGCAGGCTCCAGGCTCCGAGCCATCAGCCCAGAGCCTGACGCGGGGCTCGAACTCATGGACCGTGAGATCGTGACCTGAGCCGAAGTCGGATGCCCAATCGACTGAGCCACCCAGGCGCCCCAACTTCTTTTCTTTTTAAATTGCCTTCCAGACATGAGCCCAACATAGTTAAAGGTTTTGTTTTGTTTTTTTTTTTTGAGTTTTTATGTGGAAAAATTTTAAACATGCAGAAAGGAAAAAATAATAGTATGATGAACAACCATGTACCCACTACCTAAGTTAAACAATTATTAGCATTATCTCATACTTACTTAATCTCTCTTGTTTTTCTCCCTCCATATCTCTGTCTCATTCCCCCTTTCTACCTCTTTCTCTATATTTTGTTTTTGTTGTTACTGACATAGTAACATTTTTTCTCTTTTGGCTGTAGGTATTATTTATGCCTCCAGCTTCGACAGGACATAGTTGCAGGACGTCTGCCCTGTTCCTTTGCAACCTTAGCGCTATTAGGTTCTTATACCATCCAGTCTGAGCTGGGAGACTATGACCCAGAACTTCATGGTGCGGATTATGTTAGTGATTTTAAACTGGCCCCAAATCAGACCAAGGAACTTGAAGAGAAGGTCATGGAACTGCATAAGTCATACAGGTAAGTATGTTTCCAGGGTTTTTTCTGTGTTTGCTTTGGCAATAAGTTTAAACTCTTGACCTGGTTTGATTTGGTGTTTGTCTCAGAGGGAATGTGGTGCTGTAGAAAGACTCAGCTCGATCCCCTCCACTGTTTGACTTTGAGCAGGTCATTTAAGTCCTTGGAACCTCCTGTTTTCTCATGAGGGTGATAGGTGTTGCATTGTAGGAAGAAAACTAAATGAGGCAATATATGGAAAGCACTAAGCACTGTGTCTGGCACATAGTAGGTGCTCAATAAATGTTAGCTATTGTTATCTTACCTTTTTTCAGATTTTAAAATTATTATGCTATATTAGATACTTTAAGATCATTAAAGCAGGGTTCTTAGGCTATCTGTACATGGATAAACTTCAGAGGACCATGAACCCCCTGAAGGTATTTTTAAAAGTCTTGATTGAATTCAATGCTTTTTTTCATGGAGATTGTTGGTAATGTTGGGAGGTATCATCACACAGTGATCAAAAGCAAGGACTTATAGTCAGACTGAGCTGGGTTGAAATCTTGGCTCTGCTTGGTCCTGGCCTTATGACCCCAAGTTATTCACTTAACCTCTCTGAGTCTCAGGTTCCTTTTTAAAAAAAATTTTTTTTGGGGCGCCTGGGTGGCGTAGTCGGTTAAGCGTCCGACTTCAGCCAGGTCACGATCTCGCGGTCCGTGGGTTCGAGCCCCGCGTCGGGCTCTGGGCTGATGGCTCAGAGCCTGGAGCCTGTTTCCGATTCTGTGTCTCCCTCTTTCTCTGCCCCTCCCCCGTTCATGCTCTGTCTCTCTCTGTCCCAAAAATAAAATAAACGTTGAAAAAAAATTTTTTTTTAAAAAAAAATTTTTTTTTTTAATGTTTACATATTTTTGAGAGAGACAGACAGAGAATGAGCAAGCAGGGGAGGGATAGGAAGAGGGAGACAGAGAATCCTAAACAGGCTTCACACTGTGAGAGCAGAGCCTGATGTGGGGCTCCAAGTCACGAACTGTGACATCATGACCTGAGTTGAAATCAAGAGTTGGCAGCTTAATCGACTGAACCACCCAGGCGCCCTGAGCCTCAGGTTCCTTTAACGTCTGATGGAGATTATTACCTCAGAGTAAATAGGGCAATGGCTAGGATTAGAAAAGATGCTGTGTGGAAAAACTTAATATAGTGTCTTACGCATTGTCAAAATTCAGTAAATGTTAGTTAATATTTTTAAAAATTAACTTATTTATTTTGAGAGAGACAGAGAGAGTGAGCAAGGTAAGGGCAGAGAGAGAGGGAGAGAGAGAATCCCAGGCAGGCTCCACACTGTCAGCACAGAACCCGTTGCAGGGCTCGAACTCATGAACCATGAGGTCATGACCTGAGCCAAAGCTGAGAGTCAGAAGCACCCTGATGCCACCCAAGCACCCCGATGTTAGCTAATATTAAAGTGCCGGAATAATTTGTGTTTCTTTCTCTGTATGTCCCATTGTTATTTAAGTGACTTGCTGTAGCTAAATTTTACAGCCTGCCTTAGCTTATTAACATGAATGTCTGATCTTGGCCTTGAGTCAGTACCCTGAGTTATGTTAGTGTGAGTTAGGAGAATCCAGCTATCTTCTAAGCCAGACATTTAAAAAATTTGTAAATATGTGAAATAATGTCACTTTTTTGTGTTACTACATTTTGGGAAAATACTGTTATTTTTCACACACAAAAAAGTTATGAATGTTAAAATATGAGTTTATTATTCTTTAAAGATTTAATAAAAATTTAACATTTTTCTTAGTTTTAATTTCTAATGTAGTAAATATTGATAGATATAACCTACATAAAGAAAAGCTCTTTGGAGCCCTCAATAAGTGTTGAGAGTGAAGGGATCCTAAGGTCAAAGTTTAAAAACCACTGAACTAGGTGATGAGATGGAAGCATGGGCTCTGGAATCAGCCTGTCTCACTTTGAGTGAGACTCTGTTCCTTATTAGCTTTATGACTCTTGTAAATTACATAAGCCCTCTGAGGTTCAGTTTTCTCATCTGAAAAATAAGGATAGTGATAGGAATTTTGTGATTGTTAAAAATATGAAGTGGTTAGCATAGTGACTAGTATATAGTGAGAGTATTTTTTAGCCTAATAATTCCTAACCCCATTTTACAAGTGATGGCTGTGAATCTGGGTTTAGGGAACTACTTTTTGTAACTTAACTGAATTTAAGCCCAAATAAGCGAAATGATCTCAAGAGATAGGTGGATATGGTCCAGTTTGATATTCTGTGAGGTATATGGATAGAAATTAAGCAGTAATAGATCTCCATGACTAGAAAATTTAGAGGTAAGTCATCTTGGAATTGCTCCTTTTTGGAAAGATTGGCACTCTTTACAAACAGAAAGCCAAATGGAAAATTTAATTATGTCCAACAGCATGGCACTTTAAATAATCCAGAGAAACTTCTGCTGAAGCAGAAACATTTTACTATGCATTGAAAAGTACAAGCAAATACCACCCTGTTCTCAGATAAACAGAAGACTGCCTACGTACATGGAACCCTTAGTTAGTGGCCCTTTGCCCAGACGGAGACTTTGAAGCTATAATTAACTTTAAATTTATGCTAGCAAATCAAGCTTTAAAATGAATCGCCATCCATGTATGGGTACTAGGAAAGTATGTAAACTTGTCAGTTGCCCCCCACTTAATTATTTGAAATCTCAGTCCTTAATTAGGAGATGCAACAAACATTATTAAAAGGCTGTCACATAACATTGGAATTCACTGAATGGCTCTATATCCGGACCACACTTGCTCAAAATAAATACAGAGAAACTTTGTTTTAGTTTCTCTTTTTAATGAGCAGGACTTAACCAGTGCCAAAGCTCTCTGGTTAGATGCTTTTGTAAGTTTGCAGTCCGTTCAAGTAGTAAATTATGAGGTGGTACTGAATAAATTCACAATGGTTTAGAGGTATCTAACCTCTTCCCAGCTAGTTTATTATACTTCAAGAGTCTGTGAATCTGGGTTTAAGGAACTACAGAACTAAATTGTCCAAGAAAAATTTAGGAGAAACCATGATCTTTAAAATTTTAAGGTGAAAATAATTTAAATTTAATTTGTGATATTAAATTTGTAAAATAAATGTGTTGTATTTACATGTACAGTTCTGCGAGTAGTGGGATTATGAGAGATTTTATTTCCCCCCATGTTCTTATACAATGAATGTGTATGATTTTTATAATCATAAATAGCTTCCTGAAACAATTTTGTTTTGCCATTAGGTAGCATAGAGGAAGATAGTCATCCATGCAGAGAGGCCATCTGGCTGGGGATATTGGGGTCTAAGCAGGGTGGAGAGAGTTATTCATGGATAGGGGGCCAGCCTGGCATGAAGAGTCAGAGCTCAAACAGTATGAAGTGGGCACGTGGTGGTAGTTATGAGAGGCAGAGCAGATTGAGAAGGGCATCCATGTGGGGGTAAGGCCTGCATTGGGTGGAGGCCATCCACATGGGGTGGTACCTGATACAAGGTGTTGAAGCCTGGGCAGGGTGAAGAAGATGTCCATGGAAGGGATAGCCTACCACTAGAAGTCAGAACCTGAGTGAGGTAATGAGGGCATCCCTGTGTGGGGAACAACCCAGCATGGGGGGTTTAGAGTCCAGCCAAGGTGAAAAGGGCATCCATGTAGGGGAGGAGTCAGTGGTAGCAATGAGAGATTGGTTATATACAAGGAGTTGATCAAATTAGTATATTAATGATAATGGGAGTCAGATTTCTTACTGACAGTAAAGGGTGATACACAGTATGGAGAGGGAGAAACCCTGTGGTATTGCATTAAAATTGGAGGTGTCAGTGCTAATTCATGATTTCTGATAGATAGATGTGTAAATAGGTGCGCACGCGCACACACATACATACATACATACATACATACATACATACATACTCTAAGTCTACATTGTTCTAGAAGGAGGTACTTTAAAAATGCCAGAAATGATCAGAAGGGTACAGAATCCAGCTTGGGGAAGCTCCCACTGGCCAAATCTGGTCCAATTTAACCACTAAAATAAATAAGGAAAATAATTGATTATATTGCATTGAATAAAATGAGAATCTCTGAGTCCATACTGATATAAAGGAATAAGTTGAAAGTTTAATAAGGAATAGGATATTCAAAGGTTTCAAACTATATTCCCACAAAATGGTTATTAATTGCAAAGAGATAAATAGGAATTTCACAGCGGAGAAGCCTGGCAACATCAGTGATGAAAAAGAACATCATCCATGAGGGGACAAGTTGAAATTGTGTACTTACCACCTGATAGGATGCAGTGAGAACGCAGAGCCATTTCTGTGCTATTCTTGTCAAAGATGCAAAACCTGAATCAACTCATGGAGAAACATCAGGCCCAAATTGAGGGTCATTCTGTAGAATAACTGGCCTGTGATCCTCACAAGGTCAAGATTATGAAAGTCAGGGAGAGATTAAGGAACTGTTCCAGACTGAAGAAGACCAGAGACATGAACTCAGTGACACTCCTGATATTCACTAAGCTGAGCCTTTCTGCTGTACAGAATGTAATTTTTTTTAAGCTTATTTATTTTGAGACAGAGAGGGAGAGTGCGAGCAGGGGAGGGGCAGAGAGAGGAAGAGAGAGAGAGAGAATCCCAAGCAGGCTCCACACTGTCAGTGCACAGCCCAGTGCAGGGCTCGAACTCACAAACCCTGAGATCATGACCTGAGCCGAAACCAAGAGTCAGATGCTTAACCAACTGAGCCACTCAGGCATCCCTGTACAGACCATTTTTTAAACAAATGACTAAACTTGAGTGGGGTCTGAGGATTAGATAGTAATGTATTAAAATTTATTTCGGGGCACCTGGGTGGCTCAGTCAGTTAAGCATTCGACTTCGGTTCAGGTCATGATCTCACGGGCTGTGAGTTGAGCCCCATTCGAGCTCTGTGCGGCAGCTCAGGAAACCTGAGCCTGCTTCCGAATTTGTGTTCCTCTGCGCTCTGCCCTACCCCTCTCCTCTTCTCTGTCTCTCTGTCTCTGTCTCAAAAATAAATAAAAACATTAAAAAAAAAGAGTTATTCCTGCTTATGATGGTTGTATTGGTTAGTTGGTGCAGTAGAAAAAAATGTCCTTGTTGTAGGAATTACACATTAAAGTGTTGGGAGAGATGGGTGATCAGGTTGACAGTTTGCTCTCAGATAGTTCAGGAAATATTATTTGCACTGTAGGTAACTTTTAAGTTTAAGTGTGTTTCATAAATGTTTAAATTATATTAAAAATTTTCAATACAAACACATCAATAAATTTCAAATATAAGTATTATTTTCAACTAACAAGGAAATTCATAGCTTTAAAGATCTCTTACTACTTGTCCTTAATATAATTTATTTATTTATATATATATATATATATATATATATATATTTTTAATTTGTTTTTTCAACATTTATTTATTTTTGGACCGAAGAGCAGAAGCAGCAACAATGAGCAGGAGGGGAGGAGGGCAGAGAGAGAGGAGACACAAGAATCGGGAAACAGGCTCAGGCTCCAGGAGCCATCATGAGGAGGCTTCAGCGGTTTCGAACTCCCGGTTTCCATGAGAATCGTGACGGCTGAAGTCAGGCCATTACTTCGACTTCATCGCCACCCAAGCCCCAATATATTTTTAAAAATATATTATTATTTAAGTAATCTCTACACCCAACAGGGGCTGGAACTCACGACCCCAAGATCAAGAGTCACATGCTCTTCCAACTGAGCCAACCAGGTGCCTCTGCCCTTAATATAATTTTAAAGCATGCTTACTTAGAAAAGCCTTTAACCACATAGTCTGAAACTTAAATCTGTATTTAAATTGACCCTATTAATGTCCCTTAGAGTTGGAGGAATAAAGATAGAGAAGATTTTATCATGATTGCCTCATTTAATGTTTTAAAATTTGCCTTCAAGTTCAAGTGATCAGTTATTTCTCTTTTATGAATTACGTATAAATGTTCCACTGTACCATCATCAGAAACCTAAAGTTGCAATAATAATAAACATTAATATTTTGCAGAGCAGTTTCACAACCATTATCTCATTTTATCCTACTAATCACATTCATTCATTCAGTAAAATAAACAATTCATTGCCTATCCTAGTCTCTGGAATTAGGTATTATTATGAATCTTCCTTTATAGTTAGAAGATTGAGGGAGACGCCAGGTCACCACTCTCAAGTGCAGGACGCATGATTCCAGCTTGAGTAATGCGACTTGAATCCTGCCTAAAGCCTTCTGCCTTAAAGTCACAACTTGCCTGTGGCTATGTTATCCCTCAGGGCCTATTTCTTCATCACAAAATCAAACTGTTGGACTCTATAATCTTCAAGCTCCAATCCAGCTTCAAAACCCAAAAATTCAAGCCATCGATAACAACAACAATAACGAAAACTATAAAATGATTAGGAGTGGGGGTTTTAGTCGTTGAGCTGCCCCGACTTTCAGCTCAGGTCACGATCTCACGGTTCGTGAGTTCGAGTTCCGCCAGGCTCTGGGCTGATGGTCAGAGCCTGAGCCTGCTTCCCGAGCCCTGTTTCCTCTCTGCCCCTCCCCCATTCATGCTCTGTCTCTCTCTGTCTCAAAAATAAATAAACACAGCCAGGGCGAACCTTAATCTCAGAAAAGTATATAACTTATATGGGGGAGGGGGGGTGGGCGGGAGGAACAACCCTGTAAAATTTTCCTGAGCTGTTTTTAGTGACGTGAATATACAGACTTGCACATGTGTTAATTTTCCCACTCTCCTTTGTGTGTGTGTGTGTGTGTTCAAGTTTTAGATCTATTAATAAATAGAATTCAGGTGTGATGATTTAGTGCTTGTGAAAAAAAGTTTATTTGGGGAGGCTGAGTCATTAACAGAGCTGCATCCTCTCTCCTGAGATTTTGGTGGTTGTTCCAAGGAACCCTTTGTTCTTTTTAATGAGACTAAGGACAGATGGATTTAGAAGAGACTTTTTTCCATTAAATGAATAGGCTACTGCTGCTTTGTATAGTTTAAGGCAGTCCTCCTGGAAGCAGGCATTTACTCGGTTTTTCTTTGGAGGTGTGGCGGCATTATTGTCAGTGTGAAGTCATATTTGATTGGCCTGAATTGTGCAGCACTAGGAGTGATGTCTTTTTCTTCAAAGCTCAACATAACAGTTCATGAGCACTTTTCAAAAGAGGGGAAGGTTATAAAGGAGAAGGAAAGACCATCACAGTGACCATTTAGACAGTGAGACTGATTGTTTTCAAACAGATCTAATTCATTATATGCCTAGTAATGAAGACATCTTAATAACAGAGAAAGCAGCCCCATTATCTACATGCTTCTGTTAACCAATTTATTTTGTTTAGATCAGTGGGCAGGACACCATCTGTTACCAGAAATTTTCTTTTCATCAAGCCTGTCCCCATTAAGAGTCGCCAGTTAAGTAACTTCAGCTGCCCTCCTGTTTAATTTCCATAATAATTCAGGAGTACACAGAGAAAAAGGCAGCTAAGAGGATATTGTAAATTGTACCATGCCCTCAGAGGATTTAGTTTGGTCGCCTCCTTGGCAAGAAAAATTAGTGGGAGGAGCTTGTGTGTGCTAGAGAAAAAGGCTAAGGAGAGGGAGGGTAGAATGGATGGTGGAAGCTTTAAGGAAACTGTTAAGCAAGATTTGTTTTAAAACCTTTTTTTTCTAATAGCTTTTTGGTGACTTTGTTTTTCTCTGAGATCTCTTTTACTAAGGCATATTTCAATGATTTAGACACAGGTAATGATAAGAATCCTTTTCCCTAATATTGTACTTTCAGGACTATGAAATATATCCATGTACATCTTGGTATATATATATATGTTTGTGTGTTTATATGAAGTACAACTAATATATGAGTGTTATTATTGTAAATGTTGGCACTGTGATGCTCTATTTTCAATTTTTATTCTACCAAAGGTCCATGACTCCAGCTCAAGCTGACCTGGAATTTCTTGAGAATGCCAAAAAGTTGTCTATGTATGGTGTTGACCTTCATAAAGCAAAGGTAATGATAATTTTGGCCTTTGTTACTGAGCGTGTATCAGACCTGGGTCATATAATACTTGTTACCAACTTGCATCTGGGGTACTATAAAACATTGAAAAAAGATAGTTCTTGTTAGAACTTTAAGTGTATAATTTGAATTGCCCCTTTGCAATTCCACCGTCAGAATGCCACTTCACATCTAAGCCCCTCTAAGGATCAAAGATACAGCACAGCATAGAAGTGATATTTTCCTAAATATTTGAAAATATAGAGATAGCAGCCAACATCACTTACATCAGAATCACCTGGAACATTTATTAAGTATACAGAGTCTCAAGCTCCTCCCAGATTTACTGAATTGCTTTGAACAAGATGCTAGATCTCCAAGTTTACTAAACATCTCAAATTACGCTCATTCACACCTGAATCACACCTGAGAACCATTGACTTAAGGTAATGGTTCTCAAAGGATGGCCTCATAACCAACATTTAGCATCATCTGGGAACTTGTGAGGCACATTTCAGGCCCCAGACTTACTGAATCAGAAATGCTACACGTGGAGCCCAGCAATCTCTGTCTATAAACTCTTTCTATAAGCTCTCCAGGTGATTCTAGTGCACGTGGGATGAACCACAGGGTTCATTTGGAAACTACTGGGTTAGGAATTGTAAACTTGGGCTTTAATGGTTGTTCTGCCTCATATAACCTAACAGAATAAATACTTAAGGGAAGTTCCTTGACTTCTCTCGTCTTCAGCTACTGAAATGGCCGAGAGTGGTGAGGGTGTGTGTGTGAGGAGTTTGTGAGGGAATGGGCTCAAGAGATAATATGAAGCTCATTTTTAAATTTTTTTTTTACAATTAAAAAAACTTTTTTTTAATGTTTATTTTTTTTTGAGAGAGAGAGAGCACGAGTGGGGGAAGGGAGAGAAAGATGGAGACACAGAATCCGAAGCAGGCTGCAGGCTCTAAGCTGTCAGCACAGAGCCCTATGTGAGGTTTGAACTCACAAGATGTGAGATCATGACCTGAGCCGAAGGTGGACGCTTAACCGACTGAGCCACCCATGTGCCCCAATATGAAGTTCATTTAGAGGAACTTAATAACTAAGATGCATCATGAGGGGACTCAAAACCATGTCCAATGAGAAAGCAAAGGAATACAGATACTTAGCCCACAGAAGAGAAAATTTAGGGAAGATGTAACACCTGTCTTTGTGTGTTTGAAGGATAACTGTGTGAAGTAGACATTTCACTATGCCTCCAAATATAAAGCTAGAGCTGGTAAAATGGAAATTACAGGGAAATACTATTCAGCTCGGTTTGGCAAATTGCTTAACAGAGCTATTCTAAGATGGAATGGGTTACCTCATTCCACAGCGAGTGTTCTGTCGCTGGAGATATTCCAGAATCGGTACAATAATTGCTTGGTAGGAATTTAGAAAAGGACATTCAAATATCTGGTGTGTGATTGGACTAACATGACCTTTCATGCTTCTCCCACCCTGAAAATCTGATATGTGAAGATTTTTCCTTCCTTATTAGAGTCCATTAATTCTAATAAAATTTCATTACATGTTAGTGGTTTTTCTTAAAATGTTGCTCTGGATTGTTTGGGGCTGGGTACTTCTGTGAATCTGTAAAGTAGATGGCAGAAAAATCAGAATTGAAATTGTTTGGTTTTGCTTCTCAATTCTTGCTGCAGACTGATATCGTTGCTGTAATTATCAGGAATAGATGAAGAAGTCAGGCAGCATGTTCCTTTCTCAAATGTTGTAAAGCAAATTGTTTCTCCAAAACATAATTAAGAGAGAGATGTAGTTGTACCCACAGGCTTTAAGAATTTAAGAGGGCATCTTCTGGGAAATTCTCAGTTATATAGTCATTGAGTTTATAATTTTTACTTCTCGGTTTTTTTTGTACATAACACATATGCCATTAACATGTTTCTCTATACTCATTTTGGGGAAGGGAGTAGTCAAGAAACATTTGATTCTGGGTTTTGATTACCTATATAAATAGTTGTCTGTAGAGATTTATTCAGGTGAAATTTATTCCTTATTAGACAGGGATGATTAATATATATTTAATTTTAAAAAATTACTAAAGAGGCATATAAATATGTTTTTATCTTATCTCGCTGTTCCTTCTTGACTTTGGGATGATATTTATAATTTAATATACTTAACATCAGTAATTACAAAAGTCTGAGATTCTCCATACTGAGTTTATATAGGAAGAGAACTCCTTTACTTACCATGATTTTTGGATGAGTGGCCACATCATAAAAAGAACAAGAATTATAATTATGCATGCATATTTGGTAGTAGACATAGCCCTCAGCCCTAGCCTCTAGAAGTCATGTGGTCTACTGACTTAAACATACATGTATAGGACATAGGTAGCTACCGTAGCTACCATAGTTATTATTTACTGATTATGATAGTGGCAAGTTTGAGTATTTTAGAACTGGGAGACCAAAATGAGAACATGAATGTTTACCCTAGATTTCTCATATGCAGACAGGCATGGTAAAAGTAGATTAGTGTCTCTTTTTGGATTATTAAGGAACACCTTTTTGGAAGATACAGAGGCTCAGTTTTATGGGAGAAGTGTTATAAAGTTAGATGAGGTGCAAGCCCAATGACATTTCACAATGGCTTTGGGGAGTGGCGGTGGTGGTTATATTGCTCCTTAGAGTAGTTAGTTCCTTCAGTGGGTAAGATGTGTGCATGTCAGTATTTCTTGGACCTGAGAAGAGCGGATGTTCACTCATGGTGGTATAGTAACATTTTTAGTAACATATAGTAACATTTTTATATGGACTGAACAGTCCTGTAGATTCTGATTGTTAGGTTGAGCTTTACTTTTTAATGTATGCTTTGTGTTTTTGGTTATTGATATATCAAATAAGAGTCAGCAATGTGTTGAGTACTTTGCTGAACACTGAGCTGCTAACACTTTTGTTTTTCAGGACTTGGAGGGAGTGGATATCATCCTAGGTGTCTGCTCTAGTGGCCTTCTGGTTTATAAAGATAAGCTGAGAATTAACCGCTTTCCTTGGCCTAAAGTGCTGAAGATTTCTTACAAACGTAGCAGCTTTTTCATCAAGATTCGACCTGGAGAGGTACATAATTCATGCTTCTTTCCTCCTGAATCAAACATAGACCATGTTGAAAATACCTTTCCATTCCTGTTTTCCTTGTTATGTCATCAAAGAGATCTCTTGGGATACTTGGGTGGCTCAGTAGGTTGAGTGTCTGTCTCTTGATATTGGCTCAGGTCATGAGCCCAGGGATGTGGGATTGAGCCTGGCATTGGGCTCCATGCTAAGCGTGGATCCTGCTTAAGATTCTCCCTCTCTGTCTCTCTCTCCCTCTCTCTCTCTCTCTTTCTCTCTCTGGCTCTCCCCCACTCACTCTCTCTCTAAATAAAATAAGTAAATAAGCAGTCTCTCTGTAGCTAACTATTCAGGAGCTGATAATTCTGTTTTCTAAATTAATCAGCCCCATGATGCTTCTTGTCTTCCTCACTACTGATCTTCTGGTTTCTTCTGGATCTTCTGGTTTCTCTTTATGGAAGTAAATATACCATGGCCAAAAGTTAATCTTGAATTGATAAACTTGTTTCTTGTTTACTCCGGGTAAAATCTTGATGGAAAAATATTTATAAATATTTATAAATTAAGTAGCAGGAGATTTTTAAATGGTGGGGTTAAGATACTCATGTTTTGCACCACCAACACCTTACCTGATGTAATTAAGATTTATTTGTATGTGTAGCTTCTAGTGGTTACTGAGAATGTATTCTACGTCAAGTTATAGATTAAAAAAATTTTTTTAATGTTTATTTATTTTTGAGAGAGAGAGAGAGAGAGAGAGACCGAGTGAAAGCAGGGGAGGGGCAGAGAGAGACAGAGACACAGAATCTGAAGTAGGCTCCAGGCTCTGAGCTGTCAGCACAAAGCCAGACGCAGTGCTTGAACCCACGAACCATGAGATCATGCCCTGAGCCGAAGTCAGATGCTTAACGGACTGAGCAACTCAAGCACCTCTCAAGTTCTAGATTTTTAATAGAGTTGGATGTTCAACTTTATACCAGACAACTCAGTTATTAGTTGGTGTTCAAGATTCAGGATATACTAATGCTGGCCGAACTTAACTTTTACATTAAAGAGCTATCATGGCACAGTAGAAAATTGTTTAAGTAGGAATTAAATTTTATAAAGTTCTAGCTCCTACTCTGCCTCTACCACCTACTAAATAAAATAACCAGGACAAGTCTATGGCTCAGCTTCCTTATCATTCGAGCGGGATAATACCTTCTCTCTCTTGACTTGAAGATCACATGAGATGACAGCTATAAAAGCTCGAAATAAGAAAGCAGTGCACTAGGGTAATGTGGCGTGTTTTTGTGTGTGTATCACCATCTGCTGGTGAAAAATGGCTCATTATTTTAGCTTGGGAATACTGGATGTACAGCCTTAAAAATCTTGGATAAGCTCAGTGAAGCATTTATTTAATACCATAATTATTTACCTGTACCTAACAAAGAACAATCAGTGTCTTCCCTCAAAAATTTCAAATCTAAGAGTCATTCATTCACCAAATATTTATTGAGGGCTTTCTTTAGGCCAGGCACTATTCTAGGGTCTAAGAATATAATAGTGAATAAAAGAGTTCATCCCTAACCAATCTTACATTTTAATATCTTTTTTTGTAACCTTTATTCATTTTTTTGAGAGACAGAGACAGAACACAAACGGGGGGAGGGCCAGAGAGAGAGGGAGACACAGAATCCGAAGCAGGCTCCAGGCTCTGAGCTGTCAACACAGAGTCCAACGGGGGGCTTGAACTCAGACCGTGAGATCATGACCTGAGCCGAAGTCGGACGCTTAACTGACTGAGCCACCCAGGCGCCTCATAAAACACAGGATTCTTAAGAAAGCATTTAGGAACAAGAGTAGGATTTTGAGAAGTATAGTATTATGTCTACAGTAGATGACCTAGCAGTAACATGGTATAGTAGAAACCGGGAAAATCTGGTTCTGCCACTTATAGCTATGAGACTGAACAAATAACTTCTCTGATCTTAGTTTCTTCATGTGTAAAAATATAGATGACACTATTTAATCATAGTGTTATTGGCAATAATAGGCACTAAAAATGTCAGTTTCTTTTCCATCTTGTACAGTATGCTTAAGGTAGAAACAAAGAGGCAAAAGACTAGCAGGACAGTGTTTCTAGTATCCTTGGCAGGCTATGGTTTGCTTCAAAGAAGTATTCAGATAAACTAGTGGTCAATCAAAGGAAAAAGAAGACATTTAATAATTCAGGAATCTGGTTTGAGCCAAAATCTTAAGCTTCTATTACTACTAATAATTGCATAATAATATTGGTTGATTGGAGAAATCATCTGCTATCCCATTCCCTGGTCATATAGTAGTAGAAGTATCCCAAGTGCAGACAGTGACTAAGGAAGAATAAGTAGTCTGGACAATCAAAAGGTGACTTAATTATGTCTCAGAAAAATGTACAGTGTGTGTGTGTGTGTGTGTGTGTGTGTCTGTGTGTGTGTGTCTGTGTCTGTGGGGGGAATGGGTGCTGAATAAAATAAGATGCATAAATTATATAAGATGCATTCCCTGGCTTCCCTGCTGTTGAAAAAGCCCTGAGTACATTTCTGTTGGTAAGTAGAAAAAATTTTGAAATGATACTTTATGTTTTGAAACCAGTAACATTCTTTTATTCACAGTGTCCTCTTCTGTAACACCGTATTTCTGATATTGTATCACTTTAATAAAATAATCATGTTTCATGTTTATTCATGTTTTTATAGCAAGAGCAATATGAAAGTACCATTGGATTCAAACTTCCCAGTTACCGAGCAGCTAAGAAATTATGGAAAGTCTGTGTAGAGCATCACACATTTTTCAGGTATTGTTCTCACTTAAGTATTTTTCAAGGATAAGTTATGCATGTTTCTATTTTAAACCTGCTATTGAAATTCCCTTCTTTGTATGTCTGGCATTCTTTTATTTAGCTCAGGTGAGATCATCTTAAGCGAGACAAAATAAATCCACTTCTGTTCCCTTGGGTTGAAAAACATGCCTCAACATTCCCAAAGCACCTTTCTGTGTATGATGGAAGGAGAAAAGAAGTGAGAAAAAGGAATCTGTATTTATTAGGGGCTCTGTGATCATCTTAACTGGAGCTAAACTAAATTCAGTCTGTCAGGAAGAAGTACCCTGACCTACCTCCACATGGAATTTCTTTAAGCAATGCTTAACTACTTTCTGTGGGGCTGTTCTATTAGAAGGTGAAAGGTAGGAAGCTGATCATTATCTTGGCTCTAATCAACCCCAGAAAAGAAGTACAGAGAACCATCTTTAAAGCCCAGTTGTATCAGATAATCAGAAGATGGGAGAAAGTTTAATCTGCTCTACTCTTCAAGAGGCTACATCATTAACCCCTTGTAGTCATTTACCAAACATTTTCTGTGTGCTTACCCTTTGTATAGGCACTGTAGTAGGCATTGAGAATATACCACAAGATAGTTCTAGTCCCTGTCCTGAGGGAACAGTCTAGCAGAGAAGACAGACCTTAGACAAGTATTTACCTGCATTGAAAGGAGAGTCAGCTAGGGTTGCCTGGGTGGCTCAGTCGGTTAAACATCTGACTCTGGATTTTGGCTCCGGTCATGATCTCACAATTTGTGAGACTGAGCCCCGAGTCAGGTTCTGTGTGCTATCAGCACGGGATTCTTTCACTCACTCTCTCTCTCTGCCCTTCTCCCGCTCCCCTTCTCCCCCTCTTACCCTGTGTGTCTCAAAAATAAATAAACTTACAAAAAGAAAGGAGAGCCAGCTAGTTTTGTCCCTTTGCCTTTTAAAGAAAATGTTATTATGTGAAACTGCATACATAGTAAAGAAAGTGGTATAATGAACTGCCCTTGTACCTACCTTTGGATCTATCACCCAGCCTAAATATTATCACCTCAAGACCATTCTTGTTTCATCTATATCCCCCCTACCCATTCCTTCCCACTCCCTTCCAGAGTATTTTGAAGCAAATCCCAGATTTTATGTCAGCTGGCTCTTTATGAATGGCTTTTAAGAGAGATGACCATGATATCTTCTTCTATTTGTATGTTCATATCATCCTTAGCACCATAGCACACTGGACAGGAAGAAAAATCAGGGAAAAGAACATTTTAATTCTCAGTGCAGGATAAACATAAAGATGCACTTCATAACCAATTAAGGAATTTTAATTATTGGCATTGAAATATTTCCCTATGTTCTTATCATCCTCTTCTTTAAAATCAAACCAAGAAAATAGAGTTTTTAAAAAGGGTAAGGGTGAAAAGGAGTTTTTTGAATGTTTCATATTTATGGTATAGACTTCAGCTAGAGCCAAAGTGTTTACTTGTAGGACAGCATATTTAGATCTGTTTATCAAAATAAGAGAATATATTAATATGTGATGCCTCAGCAAACAAAAGGAAGTAAATATTTGCTGAATTAAAATAAACTACCCCAAAGGGAAGAAGTACTCTCTTTTTGGTAGTATTTGATATAACAATTTATGTATTTATTCAGCAAACATTTATTGAGTGGCAAATTCATGCCAGGCACTATGCCAGGAGTGAAAACACAACGGTAAATAAATCATAGTCTTTCTCCTTTACCCATAGAGAGCCCAGAGCCTTGTAGTGGAGACCACCACATAAATAGATTGTTTCAGTTCAGTGTAGTAAATGTCCTGGCAAAAGAGATTATAGGGATATAACGTAGAAAGAAGATGGGGTTCCTAACTATGTTAAATGCACCAAATAACCTATTTAATGGGTTCATAGGCACTAACTGAGTTCGGAGTGCCTTTGACAAAATTATTATTTTGTATTTTTCAACAGTTTTTAAAGTGTATTTATTTATTGAGGAGGGGAGGGGCAGAGAAGCGGAGAGAGAGCATCCCAAGCAGGCTTTGCACTGATGCGGGGCTCAAACCCATGAACCATGAGATCATGAACTGAGCCCAAGTCGAGTCAGATGCTTAACCAACTGAGCCACCCAGGTACCCTGACAAAATTATTATTTTAATAGAATGGAAAAAGTACTCTGGGCTTGGACCCCGTTGCTGCCCAACCTCTTAATAGCTATGTGATCTTAAAACAGTAACTTCTTTTTGAAAGTTCAGTTTCTTGTATCTGTAAAGTGGTGAAAATATTACAGTGCTATAAAAGCATTTTGAAAACCATAAAGCCCTATCTATAGGGATATATGATGATATTATTAATATAGGCCTCAATTAAATTATACATGTTGCTTTGAGAAATGATGTAGAATTAAAATAATGATTGCAGGGGCGCCTGGGTGGCGCAGTCGGTTAAGCGTCCGACTTCAGCCAGGTCACGATCTCGCGGTCTGTGAGTTCGAGCCCCGCGTCGGGCTTTGGGCTGATGGCTCAGAGCCTGGAGCCTGTTTCCGATTCTGTGTCTCCCTCTCTCTCTGCCCTTCCCCCGTTCATGCTCTGTCTCTCTCTGTCCCAAAAATAAATTAAAAAACGTTGAAAAAAAAATTAAAAAAAAAAATTAAATAATGATTGCTTGATTAGAACTCCGTCTTAGTAACTGTAAGGAAACTATGAGATTAATTCATGATTTCTTTAATCTCACAGTCTCATTAGAGAGAAATAATATGTATAATTGTGTTTTTCTCCCTCTGTAGACTGACATCTACAGACACCATTCCTAAAAGCAAATTTCTTGCCCTGGGATCCAAATTTCGATACAGTGGCCGGACTCAGGCTCAGACCAGGCAAGCTAGTGCTCTGATTGACAGGCCTGCTCCACACTTTGAGCGTACAGCAAGCAAACGGGCATCCCGGAGCCTTGATGGAGGTTGGTATTGAATATTAATGATTTCCTGTGATCCTAACTCATTAGGGAGAGATAAAAGAAGTACAGTTGTCTGTAAGGGAGCCAAATGAAAGAATCTCAGTGGTAAGTGAAATGGATACTAATTGTCTGTTTCAGTGGGCTCATCTTAAGAAAAGTAGAACCATAGTTCAGAGAGAGTAGTAACTAGATCAAGGTTCCACTGCTAGGTAGTAGTGGATAAACACCATTAGAATTAGGATTCAGAATATTTACCACAGAGTGAACACCTAATGTAGTATACTGAACTAAAACCCTCTTGAATGTTTTGAAATAGTTATTTTTTCAAGTAGGAAAGAGGAAAAGCATCTCACTCACTAGAGCGGTCATGTAAAAAGTTTAGATCATTTGTCATGTGGCAGTTAGAGATAGAAAGAGCAGTTGTGTTATTGGAGTCTCTAAATTTTGTTTAAACAGGAAATAGATAAGTTTCATGATTGTATATAAAACAGAAGATCTTTCTGAATTTTTCTTAGTCTCAAGGATTGAGAGTATTACTGAAATAAAGTAATAAGTCATATTCAGTATGTGGCTAATAAAAATTTCAGAAGGTAATAACCAAAATAGAGTATTATAGATTATATTTATTAAGGACTCACCAAGACCCAGCTCTATGATATCTGCTGTAAAAGCAAGGTGCATGTTACAGAAGTTAAAGGTTTGGGTTCTGGAATCAGATAGCCCTGGTTCCAAGCTCAACCCCTGCATTTATGATCTATCTTCTGGGTCAAGTTACTTAATCTCCATGCCTTGGGTTTCCCATTTATAAAATGGGCATGACAATAATATAATTGTACCTCAAAGAGTTTTCATGAAGAATAAATCAGATGATGTATATATGGTGCTTAGCACAATGGCTGGCACTTAATAAGTGACCACAAAATATTAGGTATCATTAAGATATTGTTAATTTTCTGGCCGCAGCATTATTACTTTGTTTTATATCATCCAAAATTATGCTGCCATATTTTGATTTATTGCACGATGGGAACATATATCAGAGACACCTTGCTCAGTTTAAGAGTGTCACACTTGGAAAAGAGATGACCCAAGCAGAACTTTTATGCTTCCACAGTGCAAGTCATACTTCTTTCTTTCTGATGTTTCTCTACTGTCCTGAGTTTGAAGGGGCCGTTTTAATAGTAACAGAACAAGGCAGATTGCAGGCTTTGTCTTCTTCAGTCATCATGGCAACATTTGGAATCTGGCTCAAAAATTAAATAACTTTTCTTAAGATAGGATAGCTAATAAGTGGATTGGGGTACATACTGGTTTGACTCCAAAACCCATGTTCTTTCAGATACTTACTCACTTATTCCTTTGTTCAGTAACTTATTTTACATTTCCTATGTGTCAGGTATTGTTCTAGTCAATGGAGATAAAGCTGTGAACATACAAACATGGTCTCTGCCCTCACACGGCTTACATTCTCTGGGTAGAAACAAAGATAAAACAGTATCAGATAGTGATAAGTGCTATGAAGAAAATAAAAATAAAAGAGAGTGATGGGATAAAGAGTGCCTGAGGATGGGAGACACTGGAAGGCTGTTTGAGATTGAGTGGTTTGTATCTAAATGTAAATTTAGAAGGTTACTCTGAGGAGCTTCATTTGAACTGAGACCTGAATTATGAGAAGGAGCCCGCCATCCCAAAACCCAGGGGAAGAACATTCTCAAAGAGGGAGTAACAAGTACAAAGATCTGCAGGTAGGAATGAGCTTGGCATGGGTCTAGATCAGTGCTGTCTCATAGAACTTTGTGTACCGATGGAAATCTGTTTGGTGATGTCCAGTTTAGTAACCTATGGCCACATATGGCCAATTGTGAACTTGAAATGTGGCTAAGTTACTAAGGAACTGAATTTTAATTCAGTTTACATTTAAATAGCCATATGTGGCTAGTGGCTCCCATATTAGACAGCACAGGTCTAGATCCTAGTAAATGGAAGGGAAAGGAGTAAAAACAGTAAGTAAGGTCAGGGGTGCCTGGGCGGCTCAGTCAGTTAAGCGTCCAACTCTTGATCTCAGCTCAGGTCTGATCTCAGGGATCAAGGTTTTGATCTCAGGGTCAAGTCTTTTTTTTTTTTTTTTTTTTTTTTTTTTTTTTTTAATTTATTTTGTGAGAGAGAGAGTGAGCATGCTCATATGCACGTGGCGGGAGGGGCAGAGAGAGAGGGAGATAGAGAATCCCAAGCAGGCTGCACACTGTCAGCGTAGAGCCCCACATGGGGCTCGAAGCCACAAACTGTGAGAGTTGATGCTTAACTGACTGAGCCACCCAGGTGTCCCTCGGGGTCAGGTCTTGACCTCAGGGTCATGAGTTGGGCTCGGTGCTGGGTGTGGACCCTACTTTAGAAAAAAAATAATGAGGTCAGAGAAGTAAGTGGAAGGGGCCAGATTGTCTAAGGCCTTATAGGCCATTAAAGAGTTTAGATTTTATTTTAGTTACAATAGAAAGCTATTAGAGGGCATGATGTGATCTGATTTTCCATTTTTAAAAGACCATTTTGACTGCTGGGTGAATGCTCCATCGAAGGAGCAGTAAAGCAGAAGCATGGTGAAGTCTGTTGCAGGATCTGGGTGAGAGATGATGACAGCTGGGGCTTAAGTATTGGCAATGAAGAAGGGGAAAAGCGGTCAGAGATACATTTTGGAGGTAGGCCTGACAGAATTACTGATAAATTAAGTGTTGGAAATGGCAAGGAAAAGAAAACCAAGATTTATTCCTAGGTTTGATCATTTAGTACAATGGGAAAGTCTGAGAGAGAAGCACAGTTGGGGATATGGAAAATCAAAACTTCTGTTTTAGGCATGTTAAGTTTTAAATATGATCACTCAATCCTTATGTCTGCCATATTTATATAACACCATCAGGCATCTCCTTCTTTGTCGAGTAAAGTATCCTACCTCCAGTTTACCTTGAATTTGGGGAGCTATTATTTTTGTTTGTTTGTTTTTATCCCTAATTTTCAGTGAAAACACTAAGGTTGGAAAGTTTAAGTGACTCGTTCAGTGTCTCACAGATAGTAAGTTGCAAAGCTAGGACAAAAACCTATGTTTGTCTGATACCGTATCCCATGGCTTTTTCCACCAAATAGAAATTCTTCGTTGTTTAGATACTATGTCTGATGTATCCTCTCTTTGTAATAGCAAAAATAACCAAAGATTCAAGTATTCATGAGTTTTGGTATCTTGAACAATTTAGAAAGCTTTACTTATAGAGAGATTTATGTTACTTTTAGAAATCACATCCTGTCTCTGTTTTTTTTCTAGCTATAGAGACGTCACAGTTCAAGACTTTAAAAAATCTTGATGTCTCTATTGACTAACATTAGCTAGTTCTTATTAAATTATACTCTATGTTTTTAGGGGGGTAACTCTCAAAAACTATGTCTTCAAAATGCTGTAGTACTGGTTGCGATTCCAAAACTAAAGCATGTAAGACAATTCTAAAGGAAGATAGCTTTGGTGGCCTGACCATTAGTATCACAGAGTTTTGGGACTGGGAAACAATTTTTGGAAATAATTTATTCCAGCCACCTAATTTTATAGAAGCGAGCCTAAAAAGTAAATTCTCCAAAGTACGTGTATCCTAAGTACAAACTTAGAATAGAATCCTGTACATTTTCTGGTCAGTCCCTTTTTACCTTCATATATCCCATGATGCTTTCTTTGTATCTTTACATCCTGAGAATTTTTTTTTAAGATGCACAACTACATCTTAAATCATCAAGATGACTGGTCTTGATAATTACCACAATTCTTGTTACATTGTAAGTGCTTAATAAATGAATGTTGAAAATAAGATTGTTAATTTTTCCTGTTGAGTTGAATGTGAGCAGAATTTTATGCTCTACTTTCTATTTGATGTTTTAAGTGCATTAGAATATCCTATTACAACTGTTGTCCCTCTCTTTAATTTTTTCCACTTGGGAGAAAAGTATTGTTGTTGTTTTATTTTTCAAACCTTCACTCAAATCCTGATGACTAATGAAGTTAAATACCTTTTCATAGCTTATATAGGTCATTTGTATATCATCGTTTCTGGAGTGCCTGTTCAAATTTTTTGCTCATATTTTTATTGTGTTGTCTGTCTTACTAGTTTATAGGAGTTCTTTATCCATGTCTCACTCCCAAACTCAGGGAGAAAGCATCAGTATTTCATAATTAAGTATGATGTTTGTTCTAGGGTTTGTTAGCTACCCGTTATCTGATAAGGAAGTTTTCTTTTATTCCTAGTTTCCTGAGAGTTTTTATAATAAACAAATGGTGACTTTTAATTCATTGGTTAATGTACATCTGACCTTTGAAAAACTTGATTTTGAACTGCATGGGTCTACCTACAGGCAGATTTTTTTGATAAATATAACATAGTGCTATCAATGTATTTTCTCATCCTCACGATTATCTTAATAATATTCTTTTCTCTAGCTTACTTTATTGTAAGAATACAATATATAAT